TCCTAAGATTTTTGTTGTGTAACGTTACAGAGAACTGATCAAGTAATCTATGAGAACTATCTTCTTTTACGTTATGTTTTAGTCATTCGTTATTTGTTTTTAAAATTTTTTATATATCCTTGAAGGTACACAGCAACATACAAGCCATATACTTACGTGAATCCTAATAAACCGGTCTCAACACCACATAGCTTTATTAAATCATTGGAAGTTTGGAACACAGCGACACGAGTAGAGTGAGGTCATGACCAACGTGCAAAAGATTCAAACTGGTTGGTTTGGGTTTCACCCCGACTTTTATCTAAACAAGAAGAGTAAGTTACTATAAACATATAAGCATCACTGTATTGTTTTTTTTTTGTAATTCGTTGTTTTGGGAATGACGCCTTACCATTTATGTCAAACTTTGTAGGAAAATTGACTTACCGTTTAAAATCTCGCCGCTTTTTTTTTTATTGTAAGCGAACCTGCCGGTAATATATTTTTTTTTGCCATTCAAGGTTAATTGCCCTTTGTTAGGTCTTGTGAAATCACATAATGTTTGAAGTTTTCTATGGTGATACGTATTGAACACGTTTAATCGACTTTGTTCTTTTTTCTTTTAGCTATTCCCTTTCTTTGTGTTTCGTCTTGGTAATATTTGCTTTCATCTTTTTGCAGCATCAATTTTCTTGGTATAGAGAAATTGTACTTCAGATTAAGCTCGCAGGTTTATTTGTTTTCCCTGGCTTGTGCTAGCATTCTGTATCTCTTTCTGAGATACAAATTATATCTTATCCTTTGATCTGTTTGTTTATTTTTATTAGTGTTTTCTTTGCATATGCTTGACTATATTGTATTCGGTTGTGAGAGTCTTGCTTAATTATTACATTCACACATATATGTTCTCTTTTATTGATTTGCTTTTTCTATTGTGGTTTATGGTTTACTCTTTCTTTCTTTTTTCTTTCTTTATATGATTTATTTAGTTTTTCTGAATCTGCTGAACTACAACACAGATTTTCAATCTCTTCTTTCAGCGCATAAAACCAAATTTCTTCATTCCAACCACAAGCTCGCCCTATCCAGACTATATTTACTAACCCGGTTTCATCAAAGGCACGGGAGGAAGACGAAGAGTACAAGATGACTAACTATATTCTTCAAGATGATGAACATCATCGTTAGGTACGTACCAATTTTTTTTTACTCACCATATTCAACTCCCCTATCTTATTTTCTCTTTTTGATTCAGTCTTATCGTGATTTTTCTGCTTGCATTGATTCTTTGGTCACCATTCGCTTTCAATTTTCTCTTTTGCTCAGTCTTGTGGTAAGACTCTGTATTGTTTGTTCTTTCACAACTACACATGCCGGATGTACTGTTGTTTCTTTTGTTTCTCATATTCATGGTTGATATAATTGTCTTTGCTTTCTCTTTCATTATAATGCCTTTTTTATGCTTTGGTAGTTATTATGATTGTGTCTGTTTTTGAGAGATCCTCACTCAGACATTACATATCCACACCTAATAACTCGTATCAAACACTTATCCCTTCTGTAAGCGCAATCGTATTCTCTCCGTGCTTGACAACTAAAAGCTGTCACTCAAATTTAAATGTAGAGTTGCAGAGGTACCATATGAACACACTATCTCGGTCTTTTCATCTTTCAGTCAGAGAAAAATGCTTTAAAGCTTGCTATATTTTTAGCTATCTCTGAATAAAGAACCTCTTATTTTCCATATTTGAATTTGTTAGTATTCCTCAACTAAATTTTAAAACGCTTAAAATGATAAAATCAAGTCATTAACACAGCTTCTTGGGGGGATTTTTTGTGTTTAGGTGGCTGCACTCAGAGAACTAAAAAAAGAAGAAAATGGATTTCTTTGGCGATTGCATAAAGGTGGTGCATCACAGAAGACATCTTTGAGCATATGAGTTTATGGAAGCCAGCATATTGAAGGAAATGGTGTCTGACAAAGACAAAGTTGGATGACCATTTATAGAAATTGAGAAGATTGTCGTTTTTAGGAAGCCTCGACCTCTTTATGGACCGTTTAGATCTTTGGTATGTGGTTCTTTTTCTTTATATTAGTAGACATGACTTATCTAACTTTTTTGTAGTAATTCCGTTAACCTTTTCAGACTTTCTTGTGCTTTGAGAGTTATTTCGCTGGAGAAGATGAAAAAAGGTATCTCAAATAGACTGGTTGTGAAGTTTTTGAGTTGTTGTGGCCCTTATAAATTGTGTTGGAGACAATAGAGATGCTTTCCTTTATGATTTTCATTTGCTAAACTTTCTTCATAGATTTGATGTTGATGTTGCTGCGACATATATCTCCACATGCATGTTGCATGTTTCATCGGTAACTAAATGTAAACGTCTTTGTTTTGTATTATTTAAAAATCAGGACCTCAAGAGGAGATGGAAGAAAAACGTAATAACTTGGTCGAAGAAGATAAACAACACACAAACATAATATTTTCTTAGGTTGTATTGTGTTTGTTGTTTGATCTATATTATTTAGCTTGCTCTGTCTTGCTTAATTACTTAAACACAGCTCCGCAGGGAGAAAATGGTATCGAGCTTCATATGATGATAGATTCCTCTCAAGGATAAGCTGGAACGCAACAATTATTTTGGGATCAAGAAGGCTTCAAAGAGATATCTTGAGAATCATGATGTGTTTGTTGCCTGCACCTATAAAAATATATGTAACAATTCTTAATATTTTTTAGACTATAATTGAAAATATTAGTAGAAACGACTATGGTTCAAAAAATGGCATCAATGTTTTTAGACCTGTGAAAAAAAATCATATTACTATATTAATGTTTTTGGTCTCTTCGATATGATAATTGTTTTCATATATTTTGGTTTTTTGGATACTAGCAACTCTATTAATCTCTTCGATATGATAATTGTTTTCATAATTTTTGGTTTTCATATTACTAGCAACTCTATTAATGTTTTTGGTCTCTTCGATATGATAATTATTGTTTTCATATTTTTTGGTTTTTTGTTTGTTTATGTTACATTCAGATATCTTATGCTTTTGATCAACTGATTTTAGTACTAACTTTTCTTATATTGTGAGATCGTTTTTCAATAACTATACAAGTTTATGTCATATCTTTAGACTATATATTTGTGCATCCATATGATATTTATTTCGTTAAAGAAGAAAAACCAAACAACCAAATTGTTATTTATGCTCTAATATTATCGTTTCGTGCCGAGAAAGATAAGAACCGAAGAATAACAGATAATTTCTATAAAACAGGAAGAGATTATATATTGACTAGCGAGAATGAAGAATTAATAAAATAGTCCATAAACATAATGTATACAAATAATGACTAATTTAAAGATGAAACTTAACATAATATCAAAGCTACCAAATGGATTGTTTACCTACATTATGATAACATAGTTTTAGTCCATAATTCATGTAAAACAGAAAGAGAGTTCTAGACTAATTTAGATATGAAACTTAATCTGGCATCAAAGCAACTAAAATGATTATTTACCAATGCTCTCATGTTGTTATTTCGTGCTACCACTAACGAGAAATATAAGAACCAACATGAAAGAAACACATTTCATTTTAAACAGGGAGAAAATTTTGGCTAGGGTAAACACAAAATTAAATATACCCATAAATTTAATGTATACATAATGACTAATATAAAGATGAAATTGAACTTGATATCAAAGCTAGAATATAGATAGTTTATGTTGCTCTATTACTATATTACTATGGTTTTGTATCCAAGCTTGCGAAAAATATAAATCGACGAGAAAAAGCAATAATTTCAGTAAAACAAAGAGAAATTACCGTTTAGGAATAATTTTTTTTTTGGCTTCCCGTTTAGGAAGAATAAAGAATTAAAATAATTTGTTAATTGCATGTAAAAATAATAACTACTTTAGAGATAAAGCTTAAAGCAGTATTAAAATTGTCAAAATTTTTTTTTTTTAATTATTGTAATTATGAAGAAGAAGAAGTAAAAGAGGAAGATGATGCAGAAAAGATGTGGAAAAAACTAAGAAAAAAGAGGAAGACGTGACAAAGAATAAGAAGAAGAATAAAAAGAAGAATAAGAAGTAAGAGAAGACATAGAAAAAGAAGAGGAAAAGAGAAAATAAAATTTGAATAAATAATAAATTAAAAATTGAAAGAAATCTAAGAAGAAAACATGAGAGAAGAATGAGAGATAAAAGTGGAAAACAATAAGAGAAGATAAAAATAATTCTGTGGATATAAAGAATTTGTATTTTTTTAAGTTCAATTGGTTTGTAAGTTTCATACACTTATTTACTAAGTATTTTGAGTTTTTAAGTTGGATGATGTTTATTTTTATCATATATATTTCAAAATAGTTGTTCTAATTTTTTTATTTTCTCATAAGCCAATTTACAAATGATTGGAACATCCTATTAAAATTAAACACACCCAATACAATAATTCAGAAACATAATTCATAGATAATAAAACTTTGACTTCATATGAAAAAATTATATAGAAAATAATGATTATATTTTTAAAACAGTTCTGTCCGCGCAAATCGCGGACTAACTACCTAGTATAATATTATTAGCGTTGAAATGACCTTTTTATCACACTCATTCTACTTACTACTTCGTATACAATATATTATCGTACATGTTGTATATTATAAGGGTAAAATAGTTATGAAAAGATCCTATTTTTGCAAGGTATTTTGGAAAAATACTAGTTTTACAAAACCTTCTAATTTTAGTGTTAATCTATGCAAAAACCTCATTAATTTCGTAGTAAGTTATATTAATCAATCTTCACGATTAAGAGTTTAATTTATTGTATGTGAACCGTAAAAGTATTTTTCTAATGAATCACACAGTAGATTATATTACATGTTAAATTCGATTTTGTAGATGTGACTTATAATAGTTCCTAATTGAAGATAATCTGGAAAACAATACCATTTGTCTAATTTTTTTTCTTCGTCCACATTTCTGCCACGTGCCAACACGAGTCAAAGCTACAATGACAATATATTAGATATTTTGTAACAAGTTATAAGAACCATATAATATACAATACAAACGGTGCAAACCATAAAAATCTACGTGAACACTTTAATTATTATAGTACATCAATGTAATGTTCAGAGCCCCTAATAAAAGGTCACTTCATCGATAGACCCACAATTTTTCTCCTCATTCAAAACTGATTTTCAATATGTACCGTCCGATCAAACTCATAATCGAACGATGATCTCAGGTCTACTGTATGTGACCCTGCACTCGACCGTAGCTGAATAAACTCCGCTTTCCTCACGGTACTCTTCTACAGTCAGCCTTAGCGAATCCCACTCTTCTATTGGTTACATCAAACTCGACCCATAAATTTTGTTGATGAACGTTTCCGATTATATTACTAGCTGCACCAAGCATACTCGACCGTCCGATTCCAATACAGTGGATCCCACCTCCTACATTAGCTAGAACCCTCTCTTTTGGAACGAGTATTTCGACTCCTCTTCTTAACTCGAACACAATATCGCCTATTAACCGTTGGATCACCATCGGGTTTCCAGCGAAACACATGTCTGCTGTTCCACCGTACACGTAACCCTTTTTCAGTTTAGGTCCCACAAGTCTCACGATCTCTTCTCTCACTTTCTCGTAAGCTGCGTCTACTAAGTGAGTAAACTCGGATCCTGAATCAACCATGGTTTGACCCGACCCGCCTGCATCAGGTCTAAAAACCGAACCGGAAATGTTAAGCCTCTTTTGACCAATTCGAATCCCAACCATCGGTACAGTGTAAGCCAGAGGATCCAGATTCGGCATGCGTTGACTCTCGGGAAAAGTCAACAGAGAAACGTATCTAAACCCGTGAGAATTCGGGTTTTCCCCGAGGTAAAACGAACCGGTTGGGATTAAACCGGGTCGGTTCGATTTCGGTGGTATACAGTAAGAGAATTTCGAAATCTTAGCTTGCGAGACGAAAGAGAGACGACCACGATTCATTCCCAAAATACCCCTATCTTCTGAGGATTCAGTAGCGCAACCTAAAATCAAAGGAGGGGTACTTTCGGTATTAGAGAAAGTAATTTTCTCTTTGACGAGATTACCCTCGGCGAAGGTCCCGTCTGCGTAGAAGTACGAGTAGTGACAGAGACGGTTCGAGTCGCAGGAAGTGGGAAGGGTAAAATCGGGAATTCGCGGTTTACAAAGAGGATGAGAGCAAGGCAAATCGGAGAAGGAGGAAGAGAGCGACGGATCGAAAGAGGTTTTCGGCGGAGGGATTTTTTTACGGTGGCATTGGATCCACGAGAGCTGGGATCCGGTATCGAGAACCATTTGTTGGGCTTGTGGTGGTGTTCCGATCGGGAGAGAGATGATTAAAGCCATTGAGTATTTGAATTTTGATCGGAAATTGTACGACGACGGAGATGGGTTCCGGCGAGAGATGAGAGAGGTTGTGAAATGGGTGGTGGTGGGAGAGATATGGAGTGATTTGAGTGGGAAGTGGAAAGAGAGAGAGGATGAGAGTGAAGCGTAGTTGAAGAGGAAGATGAAGAAGAAGAAGAGAGGTTTTGGATTTGGAGACATTTTTTGATTTTTTTGGGTTTTCACCGTGAGAGATGATGATGGAGAGAAGAAGCTATGGAAGGTGAGAGTGTATATATATACACGTTTATGAGTTATGACTTGAACACACACACGTTCGATTACGATATATTACTATAAAATAAGATTTTTTTTTTTTTTTTTGGGCGTTATACCATTTGGAAGTTAAATTTTTAGGAGTTGACAAACATACGACCAAAATAATACCTAAGTAATAATTTGTGTAAAAATGTTCTATGTTTTTTCTTTTTTGTTAAATTGTTCTATGTTTTTTTTTTTGTAAAAATGTTCTATGTTTTTTTTTTGTAAAAATGTTCTATGTTTTTTTTTTGTAAAAATGTCCTATGTTGTTGTCATTATCCTAGGGTATAAATTTATAAACTAAAGCATAAATTATCTTTTCCAATTAAAGTTGGAAATTAGTTATTTTAAAAACTCTCAAATACCGTTAAATGAAAAACAAAAGGTTTTGGAGTAATCTTTAATTATCCTTGCTGGTTGACGTTTTTGCTTAAGTGTAACTCTTGCGTTGAGCTCTTTTAGTTGAGTTCTTTAAGATTATAATTTTTTACGAAACAAGTTTTAGTAAACTCGATCGTATTGAAAATGAATTGATTTCTTACTTTATTTATCTTATTTAACGTTTCTTAATTAAATGTCCTTATTCCGAGCCACTTATGTGAATAGTCGTGGTGTTTACATTTTCGTTGTGGCTTTTATTGACTGGTTGAGAAAGACAGCTTGATTAGTACAAAAGCATTATAGTAGCGCCTCCCACTATTTTGATAAATTGCATGTAGCGTCGTAATGCAGGTGATGCATGTATATGGTTCGGACCGTTACATGTATATGTATCGGCTGCAAACTTCAGTCAAAAAAATTCAAAAATGCTATTTTGAGGATACTACTGTTTTCTAAAAATATGGTTTGTTATCAATTTTCTTTAAAACTATATATATATATATATATATTTATAAGGTCATTTATAAAAATACAGATATATAAACGTTCATAAACGTAAAAATTAAAGTATGAATATTTTTTAATGTTTTTTATAAAATTTGGTCAACGATTTTGTAAAAATTATAACATATTTATTTAAGGAATTTTTTGATTTTTTTGTAGGGCAATTCTCCTGCAAAACCAAGAAATGCATAAAGGCCTAGAAAACAATAAAAAAACCACTAAGTGGTTAATCAAGATCAGAAAACTATGGAAAGAAATGGGTCGATCGTTCTTGAGAAATATGGAATCGATTCAGACCTTTCAATCAGTGATGGGGTTTTTGTTGTGAAAAGAGAAGAAAATAAGAGTTTATTGGTGGAAAAGCTACACGGTTTAAGAACCGGCGTAGAGAGGAAGTGAAGAAATGATTGGAATAGTGATAAAAAAATGTAAAGTGCTAGCGTATAAGCCTCACAAGTATCTAGAGAGATATTATGAATCTTAAGATAGCTAAAAGGGTGTCCCCCTTCTTCGTTAGAAGGGAAATAATATTTACAGGATTTTATTTGACCCGAGGTACTATATCGGGTCGGTCTGTGAATAGCGAGTTGGGTGGGTCGGTCCATGATCTGAGTTGACTGGGTTCGAATCTTGGGTTTGCGTTATTTTTTTTACGGTCTCACCAATTTTCTTTGGCACGTTCTGCCTGCTACGAGACTGCTCCTTGGCCCGTCTCTTTCGTCCTCAGTGTATGGGTTGGGTCGGCGGTACAGACACGGTATGGCTTTTGCTGAACCTCTGCTTTTCCCTCCGGTTTCCGTGAAAAGTCACTGTCGCCTGACACATATAAGAAAGATGCATTAAATGCCAATCTCGTGGGTTTGTAAGGATATGGACAATCAAATTAAACTAAGGCATATTCCTATTGTCGAATGTAGGGAAATTTGAGTAGTGTTTGCCGCTTATAGATTTACTCATATCTGGTCTGGATCCTTTGGTACTGGGACCGGGATACCGTGATTGTTTAGATGGATGACTCTGCTCTTCGGGTACCTGTGCGGGCTACACTTCTTTATAACCCAATTTTTCTGGATTACCAAGCTTAGTTTCCAACATCCTTATTCCTGACAGCATGACTTGCGCTGTCAGATACGAGGAACCCAGGAACAGGTGGCCTATTGTGCTGGATGTCCCAAATCTGTATGGATTCGAAGCCCGATACTGTATGCTTAGGTCGTATTGGACCGTAAGCCCAATACGAATCTTAATTTGGTCGTACCTGCGAAAAAGCCATGGACGCCACGTGCAAGCACGCGATTTGTCTACGTATGAAGGATCAAATTTGACCTCAATAATTTGCCCTTCACTTTGCAAGTTATCAAAACTAGCCCGTGATATGAAAATTATCTTTGCTGAGAACAAACACTTTCCCCCCTCGTTAGCCGTACCTGACTAGGCATCCTGACTGAAGCGCATAACGCTTTTTCAATGAAGGACGCATTGCTTGAGTCATCCTTTGACCTGAGGCGCGTGACATCTTTTTGATAAAAGACACAATGCCTGATTCATCCGCTGTGGATAGTATAATCTGGGACCGGGAGCTCGAGTGAAGATGCGTTGCCTGAGTCAGACACCATAAGTGAAATGACCTGAGACCGTGGACCACAGAAGATGCGATGCCTGAGTACCCTGCCGTGGACGAAGTGACTTGGAGCCGTGGACTCGTAACATGAAGGACACGGGGCCTAACCATCAGTCAGGTTCCAGAAGGGGTGCCATCCTACCAGTCCAACAATACTTTGTGGCCGATCCTTTAGAGATATCTTGTTCTCTAAGGAAGAGCTGTCCACCATGAAGCACACTGAAACTGGTAGACTGATCCGCAAAGGGAGCCAATCCTAGGCTGCATGATGCAATTCCGACGAGGTTTACAATAGAAAATTATACTGTCTGTAGAGCGGCATGCTCGCAGATAGTCTGGTTAAGGGGTGTCATTCCGAGGATACGACATCAAGGAGCAGTCTAATCCTTCATTCTGCTGGCCTCGTCGGGGTAAATACCCCAAATGTCGATACAATACATTTGGGGTGTAGTGGGTATTGAGTCAAGCTAATGGGCCTCTTCTGGGTATTCTCTGTTGGTGTTTTCCTCCTCCGGCGCATTTTAGATTTCCACGGCTTCTTCTTCGGTGGTCATCTTCACTCTTTATTTTCTGTTTTGGGAGAGTGTTGTCCACTCATTCTAGTGCCAAAATGTTTAAGGAATTTTTGGTCCTCTTTTCAGGGCAAGCCTCCTGCAAAACCGAAAAATACATGAAGATTCAGCAAACACGATGGGGGTGTATTTTTTGAAGGCTCTCCGACGTTCAACTCAGAAAACAACAAAAAAAACCACTAAGTGGCTAATGAGAGAGCAGAAAGAGATTGGAAAACTATGGAAGGAAAATGGGTCAAGCGATCCTGAAAAATGTGGAATCGACTCGGAATTTTAAGTCAGTGATGGGTTTTTTGTGTGGAAATAGAAGAAAATAAGAGTTTTTTGGTGGAAAAGATCCACGGTTTAGGAACCACCATGGAGAAGAAGTGAAAAGATGGTCGGAATAGTGACCAAAAAAGTGTAAAATGCTAGCAACTAAGACTCACAAGTATCTAGAGAGATATTATGAACCTCAAGATAGCTAAAAGTATGTCCTCCTTCCTCGTTGGAAGGGACAAAATATTTTTAAGATTTTACCGGGTTAGTATACTGGGTCAGTCCGCGGATAGAGTGGGTCGGTCCACGACCCGATTTGACTGGATTCGAATCTTGTGCTTGCATCATACTTCTGACGGACTCACCAACTTTCTTTGGTATATTCTGCTTGCTATGAGACCGCTCCTCGGTGCGTCCCTTTCGTCTTCAGTGTACGAATTGGATCAGCGGTTTAGACGTGATATGGCTCTTGCTGAACCTCTGCATTTTCTTCTGGTTCCTGCGAAAGGTCACTGTCGCCTGATAAGTGTGAGAAAGATGCATTAAATGCCAATCTTGTGGGTTTGTAAGGGTATGGACAATCGATTTAGACTAAGGCATATTTCTATTGTCGAATATAGGGAAATTTGAGTAGTGTTTCCCGCTTATAGATTTACTCATACCTGGCTCGAAATCTTCGATACTGGGACCGGGTATTTGTTTAGATGGATGAATCTGCTCTCCGGGTATTTGTGCAGGCCATACTTCCTTATATCTCGACCCTTTTGGATTACCGAGTTTAGCTCTAGGAGAGAATGTGACTTCTTCTCTTCATGATCACTCAGTTTTTGACCTCTTTGTCCTTGACAGTGTGGTCTGCGTTGTCAGATATGAGAAACCCAGAAACAAGTGGTCTATTGTGCCGGATCTCCCGAATCCGAATAGATTCAAGGCCCAGTACTATATGTTTAGATAGTATTGGACTGTAACGCAAATACAAATTTTAATTTGGTCCAAAAGACCATACCTATAAAAAAAACATGAACACCACGTGCAAGCATGCGATTCGTCCACATAGGAAAAATCGAATTTATCTCTTAACAATATTGATACATTCATTATAAAAAAAAGAGAAAGCTTATAAACATTCATAAACTAATTTATAAAATAGAAAAAGTTTATAAACGTTCATAAGACAGTTTGTAAAAATGATAATTTTGAAAATTGAAACTGTTTTAGTAGATTATTAAGAAGTAGCATCATAAAATGTCATATTACAAAAAATTTCATTATATTATTGTTGATAAGTAAAATAGAGTTTCTGTTCGCTTTTTTTTTGTTATGTTTGGTTTGATGAATTGAGTTTCGGTCTTTTGAAGATTAAATTATATTATGATTCTATATGAATTGAAAACTGATTTAATTTCTAGATATGGTTTTTTTCGCTTTCAGTTTGAATTGAATCAATTTGGTTTATGATTCAAAACTTTCTAGATTTATAATTTCTCTGTTATTTAATAAATGATGTTTTAGGATTTTTTTACTCTTCATTAAGTGATATTTTTATAATACAATTTTTAGTTTTTTTTTTAAAAAATTATTATTTGGCTATTTG